GCCTGCCACTCCCCCCCCCCCCCCCCCAAACCCTAAACCCTAAACCCTAAACCCCCCGCCCCCGACAGGTGATCGGCGTGAACTTCTTCTGGCAGCTGATCAGCCTGAAGCCTCTCGGGTCCCATTCTTGTTGGTGGGGTTGGGGGGGCTAAGCCCTAAACCCTAAACCCTAAACCCTAAACCCTAAACCCTAACTTCTCGGGGGTTTTGAAACGCCATCAGCAATGAGGACTGAGGACGCTGGAAGTTACCAGCTGCCCTATCCTGAACCGGGTTGTTTAGGTTCAGGACATCAGGGTGTCAGCTTCGAGCATCTCTTTCCTGTCCCTATTTCTGCTTGAAAAAGGTCACCCTAAACCCTAAACCCAAAACCCTAAACCCTATTTCTGGTTTAAAAAGGCATACCGAGCGAGACTTTATCTGGTTTAAACATGTATACCGAGTGAGACCCAAAATCCGCAGAAGCCCTTGGCTCAGAAAACTTGTACACCCCTATGAGGCCCCCTAAACCCTAAACCCTAAACCCTGTGAGGCCTAAAATTCCCCTACGAAACCCTGCAAGCTCTAATTACAAGCCTCCCCTATAGATATCCACATGAACCCTCAACCCTAACACCTAAACCCTAAACCCTAGACCCCCCTCGTCGCTAAACCAGGTTCGGCACGTTCCTGTGCGACCGCTACGCGGTTTCCTGCTGGGGTGAGGGCTGTTTCTGGGACTACCTGCAGACCATTCTCATCTGCCAGGGGTGTCCTGGTCTGCACCCCTCAAGAACCCCCTGACCCCAAACCCTAAATCCTAAACCCTAAACTGTATAAGGCCCTAATGAAGCGTACCTTACTGGGGGTCTTAGGGGATCTTGAAGGATACTTGGGGGCGGTCTAGGTGGTCCAGAATAGTGGAGGTTTCAGGAATTCGGAGAGTTTCAGGTCTAGGGTTTAGGGCTTAGGGTTTAGCGTGTAGGGTGTAGGGCCAAACCCTAGTCAGACCGTAAACCTTTGGAATACTGTATCATCGTCTGGATCAGGCTTGGGAGCGTTTCACGAGTTCCGAGTGCAGCACGGTAGGGATGACTTTCGTCCTTAAACGGACGGACGACGGACCGTTGGGAAGACGTGTCCCCTAACAGAGGGATTCTTTCTAATAAAGGGAACCTACCTTTGGTGGTATTTTTGGGGGCTAGGAACCTAGGGTTTAGGCACTTTGAAGCCTAAGCCCTAAACCTCTCCACCGCGACAAGGGTCGTTGAAACACTAGCAGCCAGGGAGGCCTGGTTTAAGAAGTTCCTACAACCCAACACCACAGCGGTTTTGAGCAGGGAAGGAGGGAATTGAACACCTCATCGCCTCCTATCAGGAGTATGTAAGGCACCAAATTCCCTCAAACCCTAAACCCTAAACCCTAAACCCTAAACCCTAAACCCTAAACCCTAAACCCTAAACCCTAAACCCTAAACCCTAAACCCTAAACCCTAAACCCTAAACCCAACAAACTGAGGTACAGCTTTTGCTTCATCCTGGGGGCAGTCATTGGATCCGAGGCATGCCCGGAGCTTGCGATTTAGGGTTAGGGTTTAGGGTTTAGGGTTTAGGGTTTAGGGTTTAGGGTTTAGGGTTTAGGGTTTAGGGTTTAGGGTTTAGGGTTTAGGGTTTAGGGGTGAGAAGGCGTAGATGCTGTGAAGAAGAGCAGCTTTGGCCCGATTGTGGAAGGCCATCTAACACGTTCCTCCCACCCCACGCCGGCCAAGGCGGCAAAGCCACCCAAACCTATTCCTTTTAGGGTTTAGGCCTAAACTCAGACAACCGTCCACTTCTCAACGCTTCCTCCGTCCTGAATGTCAGGAGTCGTAAGAAGGTTTCTACAGGTCCAGGCAGGTGGTCTCGGGTCCTGGGATGATCCAGGGGGGTCCCAGACTGTCCTAGGGGGGGGTCCCAGAAAGGTCCCAGGCCGGGTCCGCGCCATCCAGGAACAGGGTGGGGGGGTTTTGGGTACTTACTTTATTATAAGGGACCAGTGCTGGTCCCGAGGAGAACGTGCTGTTTAGGGTTTAGGGTTTAAAGCTTAGGGCTTAGGGCTGAGGGCTTAGAGCTTAGGGCTTAGGGCTTAGGGCTGAGGGCTTAGGGCTTAGGGCTTAGGGTCACAGTCAGAGGCTAGAGGTGTTCGCAGACATCGGAGAGATGAGCTTGCATCATGGGGTTTGGACTACTTGGAGGTTCATGGGTACTTAGAACCCCAATTAACCGTCCACTTATTATAACTTGGGGGGCTTATAAGTGCGGTTATACTTGGGTTTGTAAGTACCCATGAACCTCCAAGTAGCCACTCGAACGCTTCTGATGAGCCTGCAGCAACCATTTGAACGCGGCCGAAATGGCCTGGGCATGCTTGCGACTGTCCTCTTTTCTCTTATTTGTCGCCGTCGACCTGCTGCTCGTGAAGTCCGATGCTTGTTGCTACCAATCCCAGCGACTACCGCATGATCGAGCAGTCAGAAGGAACCGCCCATCACAAGCGGCTGCGCAAAATCTACCAGTGGGTGATTTGCATTGCGATCAGTTTGCCCGCATGGTTGCCTTACTACGTGTGGGAGATCCCTAAGGCCCCAAGTAGCCCAAAGTAGGTGTTATTTGCATACTTGGAGCCCCAGGGGATGGCCCATCGTGCTCTTCATCCTAAAACGTGGCGGATGGCCACGGGTGGGCCCAGCTCATATCCGAGATTTCGCGCTTGCACGGAATTGACTTTTCAAGTCCCAACTATGGCACGGTTAAGGGCGAAGGGTTTTGGCTTTTCGTCAAGTTCTTAACTACGCCGGCGATTATAAGGTAACCTTGGAGCGTTCCTATAAGAGTTTACCGCCCTGTGGTTACGGGCATTTTGGGGTCTTTGTGAACTTCAGCCAGTAGAGAGCATCCTGAACTGTGGGGTTTTTTGAGTTTCAAGCACTTGAAGCCATCAGAGAGCATCCGTATTTACGGCGCGAAGAAGGTAGTTTTGGAACATCCTTGACCATGGGGTTTAGGGTTTAGGTTTAGGGTTTAGGTTTGTAGGGTTTAGGGTAGTTAAGGCGCTTTGGGTTTCAACCTTTTTCAGCCAGCATTTACGGCGCGAATAGTTGAGGATATTAGGGGACTTCGGCCAAGAAGTGTTGGCGCGTTGCCGTGGATTTTGTGACCCGAAACACGTCTGTTAGAAGTTCTCCACGTCCAAGTCCGTTTATACCGCACGAAGCAGGCTGTCTCGGTTGTTGTCCATTTCAGCACACTGGGAACCTTCTCTTGAACGTTTGGGCACGAGGAAGGCTCCAAATCCATATTTACCGCGCGAATGAGGCTGCTCCGGTTGTCGTGCCTGGTTTTTGGGGTGTATAGAGGCGTTAGTTCAACGGGAAGAGCTCCGACTGGTTTCACGAGGTGCGGTTTCCAGCTTGTACTTGGGTTTATGGCACCTAAGTCCTACACCTACAGCACCCTACTGCCCGCAACTCCTCATCTTGGCTTCAAGCCTTTTAACGGACTTTCGACACCGAGAACCTAAACCCATGCATCCCTAAACCCTAAACCCTAAGCCCTAAACCCTAAATCCTAACCCTAAACCCCAAACCCTATACTCTAAACCCTAAACCCTAAGCCCTATACCCTAAACCCTACACCCTAAACCCTATGCTAAACCCTAAACTGCCGAGAGCGCCGCTGTCCATTTACATGGGCGCTCGAGGCTTCGACCGAGGCGTCTTCACAGGAGGGTTCTTTGAGGTGTTTTTTTTTTAGCGGGTTCCTTGGAACCCTCCCCTGAAACTCTCCGGAACCTTCTGGGATCTTTTTGGGACCCTTCCTGCCACCAGACCTCTGGGACGTTTTTGGGACTCTCCTGCGTCGCCGGGACGTTTTGGGGTCGCGGGCTGGCAGATTCCAGCCCCCCCCCCCCCCCCCTTTGGCCGGGCCAGGGGGATTTGCCAAAAAAAGGCTCAAGTTTTGGGGACCTGCCTGACCTCCTAAAACCCTCTGAAAATTTCCTTGAGACCGGGACCCTCTGCGACCTTCTGACATGGGTTTTTCTGTCTTGCTTCGACCAGTTGGAAGCAGGGGCCGGCCGAGGCCCGTGCTACCCCCTACCACTTTGCTGCTTCGTTTTACTCCCGGAAGCAGGGGCCTCTGCTTTTATAGTTCCAGCATGTGCCCGCCTGTAGTTTTTTTAGTATTGCAATTGACGGTTTTGGGCACCCCTCCATTTTACTCCGTGAAAGCTCCCACGGTGAGCTTTTTTCAGAAGACACCGTGGTCATCTTCGGCGGTCGGACCCATAATGTGGTATCCTGATTAGTGTGGACCCCTCCAATAATGAAAAGTTTTCAAAAAACAATTCAGGGGACAAAAATTCGGTTGCTCCCCTCCAATAATGAAAAGTTTTTCGGGCATGGGTTTCGGAAGAGAGAAAAAAGAGAACAAGATGAGCCCTTAGCTTTAATTACTGAGCTTACCTGAGCTTTCCTGAGCTTTCTTGAGCTGAGCTCATCTGAGCTTACCTGAGCTTAATTACCTAAGAGGAGAGGGAGAGGGGAGAGGAAGAGGAGACGGAAGAGGAGCGAAGAGGAGCTGAAGAGGAGCCGGTGGGGGGGGGCCCGGCGCCGAAAATTAGTTTGGGGGGTCCCTTTTTTTGTGACACTATTGCGGGGGTGGATTTAGTTTGGGGGGGAGGGGCCCCCCCACACTAATCAGGAGACCACATTAGTGCCTATGTGTCAGACGTCTGGCGGTTCCACGTGGACAGCGGAAGCTCGGGCTTTTGGGAAAGCCTCGCCCCCAATGCAGGCCGCCAGGGAAGGTCTGGCCACACCGCAGACTTCTCAACAGCTCAATGCTGATGAGGATGGGGCAGCGGAGACAACAGTGACCTGTGGTCGCTGAGCCTCAGGAGTCAAAGCGGCCTGTACATCTGGTCAGAGTTGATTGCTGCTGCCCCTTGGCCAAGTCCGAGATATTATCATACTGCAACAAGAATGGGAGATGGGAGCATGATCTTGTTTGGAGGATACGGTTACAACGTCGGACGTTTAGATGACGTGTGGCGACTGTCCGTGAGCGGAGGTTCTCCTTCGTGGACCATGCGCTGTAGCCAAGCGGCCGGAGTTCTGGAACGGCACTGGTTGCGAAGCCTGCGCTTGGAGGTGACCATGGATGGTTTCGGTCGCATCTCCTTGTCCCTAACCATGTCCCCCTTGCCTGAGAACATCTATGAGGCATGTCGAGTGGGAGCGGAGCAGCAACCTTCCGTCCTTGATGGCCCTTGCAAGCTATATGAGACCATGAACGAGAGCACACTCATGCCATCTGGTGTCTTGGGCACCTTCATGGTGGCCTTGTCTTCGGGGGGGGGGGGGGGGGAAGGGGAAGTGGTTGTTGCGCAGTTGTCGGCAACTTCAGCAAGCTGACAGCCATTCAGCCGAAGGAAATCCAAGGAATGCAGGTGCACTTGGGACCGTTCAGGTCCACGCTAAGGCTGCTCTTCTCTGAAAATTGCAGGAAAGCCCCCCTTGAGGGGGGTTTGGGGGGTGAATCCTAAACCCTAAATGAGAATAGTTTGGGTGGTTGGGGTGGGACTACATGCTAACGCAAGCGAGCGGCCCTGGTGCTTTTAGCACCAGCGAGCTTCCCTTCTTTACACCCTAGACCCTAAACTTCTAAACCCTAGACCCTAAACCCTAAACCCGAAACCCGAAACCCGAAACCCGAAACCCTAAACCCTAAACCCTAAACCCTAAACCTTAAACCCTAAACCCTAAACCCTGAACCCTAAACCCTAAACCCTGAACAAAAAAGTCCCTCAAAGAACCGATGCTCAGAATCCCAGGCCAGCCAGAGGCATGTCCTTGCGTCTGTTGCGCCTGGGACTTCTTGAGATGGCCTAAGACCTGCACATGTTTTGGGGGCTAGAATAGGGTTGGTAGTAGGGTTCAGGGTTTGGCGTTTAGGACTTAGGGTTTAGGCTTCAGGGTAAGTTCAGGGCTTCAGGGTTTCAGGGTTTTGGGTCGGGAGCGTAAGAAATCGTCCAAGGCTCGTATTGCGCAGGGCACACTGAGCTGAGCTTGTTGCCTTTGCTGCTGAGTATTTTGCGCAGCCTGGTTCATTACAAGTTTTAGTGTTTGTGGTGTAGGGTTTGTATAAACACCACTGAACCAAACACAAGCTAAACCCTATAAACCCTAAACCCTAGACTGTTGGTAGCCAGGGTTCTCGCCTTCGATAAGCCCGGACCCCTTCACGCCGCACCGTGCCTGTTCAGAGTGTATGGACATGGAATTGTGAGTTTCCTGGGGTAGGTATGTAGTTTCTTTTTGTACTATATGTTCTACTTTCCCAACCATAGCATAGGTACCACAATGAGGGCCGAGGCAGGTATGCTTTTTGTGGGCTTCCGGACATTTCATCAAGGGACTAAAGGAGGGACCATTATAAGGGACCTTAGGGGGAATTTGGGAGTAATTAGGGGGCGACTTGGGTATGTAGGGAATGAATAAGATACATATAGGGGGTATATAGGGGAATAAGGTGAAGGGTCCCTTGTAAGGGGTCCCTCCTTTTTACCCCTTCGGGCACACGTTTTGTGCAGCTTTTTGCAAGGCGTGGCTTCTTGTGTCGGCGCTGCCTGTTGCATGCACCTATCGCTGCTCGACGTGAAGTTTGAGCCACATGTTTTAGGGTTTAAATAGGGTTAGGGTTCAGGGTTCAGGGTTAAGGGTTCAGGGTTTAGGGTTTTTTTTGGGTGGTACCCTAGACTATACGGAATATCTTAGGATGCACAGTGGTATCCTTGTTCCTTTTTAGGGGTTCGTTTCTGTCAACATAGGAGAAGGCCGTTATATCTTCGTGTTGTCTTTAGGTTACTGGGAAGGAACCCTAAACCCCCCAAAATAAACTGGCTAAGGGTTCAGTGCCTCCCCCTTTCCCCTTCCCTTCCCCGTGCAGGCCCGAAACCCTAAACCCTAATCCCTTAACCTTAACCCCAAACCCGAACAAACCCCTTTTGGGAGAAGAGGCAACTTTGTGGACCGAAAGCTTTCAAACTCCTAGGAGCGACACCTCTTGGGGAATCTTGAATGCCCCCGATGTTGCTAAGTCCTCTTCCCAAAGACCCTCAACCCTGAGCCCTTTTTCGTGTTTAGGGTTTAGGGTTTGAGGTTGGGGGTTTTAGGCTTTAGGGTTTAGGGTTAGCCCCGGCACGGTCCAAGGATATTTCAAGTATTACGAGAAGAAGTCCCAAGCGGAATCCTCCGGCAAGTGCGAGATCAACATCGGCGCCTACATGTGCCTAGGAGCCGGAGTAAGCCCTTGTTCCCTTGTTTTAGGGTTTAGGGTTTTAGGGTTTAGGGTTACTAGGACCCGGAGTAGGCCTTTCTTCCCTAGGTTCCCTTATAAGCCCCTTTAAACCAAAAACGGGCACTCTTTCATTCCCAGGTCGGTCTTGTGTCTGGGTGAAGAGCATCCCTCAGAAGCAGCTCTCAGTACTCGTCCCTGAGAGGCTCCCGAGGATCCCGAAAAGTTCCTGTTAGGGTTTAGGGTTTAGGGTTTAGGGTTTAGGGTTTAGGGTTTAGGGTTTAGGGTTTAGGGTTTAGGGTTTAGGGTTTGGTTTAGGGTTTAGGGTTTAGGGTTTAGGGTGTAGGGTGTAGGGTGTAGGGTGTAGGGTGTAGGGTGTAGGGTGTAGGGTGTAGGGTGTAGGGTGTAGGGTGTAGGGTGTAGGGTGTAGGGTTAGGGTTTATTTATAGGGTTGATAAGCTTTGCAGGCTTTGTGAGGTGTTTATCGCAGGGAGGGCTTGTAGGCCTTGAGTAGGGCTTGTCGGGTTTGCAGGCTCTGTAGGTTCTATAGAGTCTGGAGGCTTCTCTCCACACATTTGGCTGGCTTCTAACCCTAAACCCTAAACCCTAAACTCTATAAACCCTAAACCCTAAGCCCTAACTCCAGTGGTGCCTCGCGCCGGCTTTGGGCGACAAGAGCTGAGGGGAAGCCGTTGAAGCGTTGTAACCCTCGTCCTCTACGATACCCCTTAGTGATAGAGCAAGCTGTAAGCTTACTTCACTTTGTAGCAGAGCATAGCACCCCTTGAAACCAAAGGTGAGCTTTTTCCTCTCAGAGAACTCAGTAGGATCGCTAACAAGAAGCACCCAGAACGCTTTGACTTTGGGATGTTCTCCCTGATACTGACAGCTCCTGCATAGGGATTACAGTAGGGGCTACCATATTTTCGATTAAGGGCTGTTAGTATAAGGGGGAACATCCCATCTTTCATCAAAATTGAGAACTCTAAGCCGCGGAACCCGACCCGTAGCTACGTCGGCCACCGAGGTGAAGAGCCACAGGAGTGAATACGCTCTGGTGTTGCTGGGGACTAATGTGCCCAACAGGGTATCCCTTGCTGGGATATTGCAGTGCAATAGGGTTTCGGGTGACACCCCAAACCAGAAAACTTAAAGCATAAAGGCATAAAGCCTGAAGCCCAAACACGACGTTCGTCGACAAGGTCCATCTAGTTCCCGAAGTTTGGACCTGTCTCAAAGAGATGGTCTTTGCCAGACAGCAGAGGAAGGCCTCCGAAGGAATCCTGAAGACGAGTTTTTCAACTATAAGGTTTCAGGGCTTGCGAGTTTGGGGGACAGTCCTTTCGGGGTACTCTAAATGGGCATTTCCCAATACTTGGGCACCCTCCATATACCCCAATATATTATTGTCCTGATAGCTTATAGGCACCCCCAATCAAGGTACCCCTGCTACACAAATTGCCCATGTGCGTACAGACTTGGTGATTCTTATTGCCCCGGGGAGAGGAATATCCGAAATAGGCCCCCAACAGCTCGGGTTAAGGGATTGGGTAGAGTTTAGGCCTTAGGGTTCCTTATAAATGCAATTGCGACAGTAAATGGGGTAGTTCCCTAAACCCCAATCCCCAAAACCCTGCCGTAAACACCGAGACAAAGCAGCCCTTCCTTGTTGGCTGAGCTGGCTGCACGCGTTCCGCAGGGTGCCATCAACCCTGGGCACGCAATGTAGTCCATCTAGTTTGCTTCGTTTTGGTTTCAGAGGGTTCAGGTTGAATCCTAAACCCTAAACCCTAAAGCCTAAACCCTAAACCCTAAACCCTAAACCCTAAACCCTAAACCTAAAGCATAAAGCCTAAAACCCAAACACGACGTTTGTCGATAAGGTCCAGCTAGTTGCCGAAGTTTGGGCCCGTCTCAAAGAGATGGTCTTTGCCAGACAGCGAAGGAAGGCCTTTCAGCATCCTAAGGATTTAGGCTTTAGGGTTTAGTGGTTAGGGTTTAGGGTCTAGGGTCTCGAGTTTAGGGCTTGGGTTTACAGTTTAGGGTTTAGAGTTTAGGGGACAGGTCTCCTAGTTCTGGTCATTTCTGGGTTTCGGGTTTACAGTTTAGGGTTTAGGGTTTAGGGGACAGGTCTCTTAGTTCTGGTCATGGGGTAGTCTCCCTAAACCCTGACCCTAAGCCCTAAACTGACCCTAAACCCTGCCGTAAACACCGAGACAAAGCAGCCCTTCCTTGTTGGCTGAGCTGGCTGCACGCGTTCCGCAGAGTGCCATCAACCCTGGGCACGCAATGTCGTCCATCTTGTTTGCTTCGTTTTGGGGTTCAGAGGGTTCAGGTTGAAGCCTAAACCCTAAACCCTAAACCCTAAACCCTAAACCCTAAACCCTAAACCCTAAACCCAAAGAGGGTTTAGGTTGAACCTTAGACCTGATAATTCTCAGGGTTGAGGGTTTAGGGTTGTTTGGGGCTTAGGATTTGGATGGTAGGCGTCTGGGGTTCAGAATGCAACCGCTCATACCCCAAAACAGTGATTTAGGGGGATTAGGGTTCAGGGTTCAGCGTTTAGGGCCGTTTAGTGTTTCCCTATGCCCCAAGCCCTGCACCCTGACCAGCTGTTACCCCCTAAACCCCCTAAGCCAAACTCTAAGCCTAAACCCTAAACCCTAAACCCTAAGCCCTACATTTTAAGGCTCCGAATAGCTCATTACTTGCAGACTTTCGACCCCATGTAGGTATCATTCGTATACTTGGAGCCCTTGAGATAGATGAACCCTAAACCCTAAACCCTAAACCCTAAACCCTAAACCCTAAACCCTAAACCCTAAACCCTAAACCCAATCGACCCTGAACCCCAAACGGTGTGGCTGTCTCTGGCTCAGTCTTCCAAAGCTCTGCAGCACGGCGAGGCTCTCTGAAGAGAGATCGCCCATTGCAAGAAGCACCTGGGCCATGCCATTTGTCAGGGCCTCCCCCTGTCAATAGTGTAGGGTTTTGGGTTTTGGGTTTTGGGTTTTGGGTTTTGGGTTTTGGGTTTTGGGTTTAGGGTTTAGGGGCCTTAACAAATAGAATAGGGGCTTTAGGGGTCATCATGGTATAATGATAGAGGGACCATAGAGGA